ATACAGCTCAACTGATAGAGTACCTGCCTAGCAAGTGTAAGAGCTTGAATTGAGTTCCAATAGTAAAAAATTTTTAAAAATAAAATAAAGTGTATGGATGTAGCAGAACACAGTATGGAATATAGGAAAATCAGATATTGTGGGACCAGGATCTGGATCTAATCCCAGATTTTAGAAATGTTTTTGGGATGTGAATTTTTCAACTTGACAATGAATGTACAGGAACAGTTTTTCAATGTTTTCTAGCCTCTCTATCCTTTAAAAGCATCTTCACACCTTATGGGATTGGAGGGGCAGGTGTTTCATGTTGTTTTGTTATAACAAGGTTTCCTTGTCTCCCTGTGTAGCCACAGCTACCTGAAACTCACTATGTAATCTCTGGTGACCTGTAACTCTCAATTCTCCTGCCTCAGCCTTTCAAGTACAGTGATTAGTGCTCCACCAAGCCTAGTAGCTATACAATGTGGTAAGGAGGAAGTATATGGAGAAGTAGGGAGGTGCCAGCCCTTCCCTTAGACTTGTTTTGTCTTAGAAACCAAGTTGTCATTAGTGGAAGAATTCATTTATTCTTTTTGCAGTCCTGTATTACCTGTCAGCTGTTCCCTCCTGCAATCTTATTCTCCTATGGTGGCACCCCATTCCCAGTGCCCTATTTTCAAAGTATTCTGTGTAAGTGAAGCCCCACTTCGTGGGAAGTGAAGAATTCAAGCTAAAGCTTGGCATGGAATTGTGGTTTCAAATTCACAAGTGTATAATAATGACCACAATTGAGAAATAGAGATGAAAAATGGACTAAATTCTACTTATGTTATTTTGGAAGGTGTTGAGAAGGGAGAATAAGCAAAATACATAGTTTCGAAATTATGTTGTATACAACATAAAATGGAAAACTAAATGCCATTTTGAAAATAAGTGAAAAATAGTGCTATTTCTTGACAAATAAGTGTTATTCTGTTCCCCACCCTGTGATATAGTGTAAACCTCTAACTACTAACTAGTGGTACATCTGGGAAGTACTTCACTCAATAGTGTAAAGTGTCTGAAAAATGCATGATGTAACAATGCTCCACTGTTTTCTGAAGAGTTGTTTCTGTTCCTCCTCTAACGCAAACATAATTGCCAAGATAACTGATCTCACATTTGGAACTTAATTAAATAAAACAACACAACTCCCTCATTGCCTTGTCGAGAAATATATCACAACTGCCAGTGCCTAAAGTAAGAATCATTCAACTGTTTGCAGAATCTTCAGATGTATTTTTGTCGATATGACAACAAATAATAATATGACAAATAACATGATAACCAACATAATATGCTCATGTTTGGCATGAGCATAATTTCCTAGTCACTAGTGTCCTGTACTGGTTTAATAAACACAAATAAGGAGACTATAGGGATTTTTTTTCAGATTTCATTATCCAAATATCTGTTCTCTAGTTAACATGAATCTTTATTCTACAGAATATTTAGTTCAAGTTTAAGAACCAATGATATAACCGACAAGTTCAGATACTAAATTGTTTCCTCTGCTGTATCAAGGCATATCTAATTTAGGTTAAGGAGCTTCAGAGAGAAATCCCTTGCAAAGTTCTTATCTTTCACAAAGTAGATGTGTAGTACAGGATTGGTGCTTGTATCAGTTTAGGTTTGGCTGGGACACAGATCCACTTTGAATGATATGAATAAGATATGTGCCATAGGGATTAGATCATACATAAGGTGAGGAGAAACTGGGAAGGAAAAAGTCCAGAAGGTCAGGGCTAGAGGATTAGAAAAAGGCCTCTTAGATCACGATGAAGAGCTGGTGAAGGTTATGGGTGTTAAAGAAAAAATCAATTCTGAGACTTTTTAAAGCAGTAAGAAGATTTTATGATGAAGATACTGTTGCAATGAAGAAAATTTTGGCATAGGAGAAATTAACCTCAAGTATGAAGTTTTTTTAAATGGCAATCTATATGCCAAAAAGCAGTATGGAAGGTCAGTGGATAAAAAAGTATTAAGAGGAAACTTTAGGATAAGGGAAGAGAGGCTTCAACCTGACAAGGTTCTTACTTAATGCATGCCAGATACTATATGTAGGAACTGATTTGCTAAACTGATTTAGTAGAATTCTTGATCATATTGGGATAAGCTGCTAAAGAGTAAAGTCAAGATCAAGGGCCTACTCAAGAAGAATTTAGAGGAACTTAATTCAATTTTGGTCAGGTAGAGTCTACATGTGGATGGCTCTACACCTGCTGATATGTTTAAAGTTACAGATCAGCAGGGCAGTTATGTGGAAACAAAGTATGTGATCAATACAGGGGAGCAAGGATAAACCTGAGAGGACAAACTGCTACCTATGCTGTCTGGTCCTCACCATTTCAAACCTGAAATGTAAGTGGCTGACTTGAAGAGGCTGGGCCTTACTCTTTAAAGCATCATCTACCCTAGCCTAAATCTCAGAAGAGAGGACCCAGGGGGAGTAGGAGGGCTGGCTGCTCACCACACACAGAAGCACCAATAGATTAATGACAAGTAATGAGTTATGACTAAGGCCTCTGAACTGACCTCCCAAAAGGTTTCTGGCCTGCAACCCCTTCCTCTAGTCTCAAGCAAATTTCTCTTGTGACCAATACTAATTGGGAACCATACAGTGGATTCTGGGAAACATAATTCTAGTTTAGCTAAATTAGTACTGATTAGATAATCATAGTAACACTTAATATGAATTGATATAAAAATAAAGCCTAAGATAATACAGATTTAATCATAAAACCTATCACAACAGACTTAATTTCTGTGTTCATTTGCAAAATTTCAACTTTCTAACACAAGAAATATTGCTATCAGCAGTTATGTTTCTCTTACTAAACATTCATTTAAAGAAACATGTAGCTGGGTGCTGGTGGCTCATGCCTGTAATCCTAGCTATTCAGGAGGCTGAGATCTGAGGATCGCAATTCAAAGCCAGCCCAGGCAAGAAAGTCCATGAGACTCTTATCTCCAATTAACTACCAGAAAACCAGAAGTGGCACTCTGGCTCAACTGGTAGAGCGCTAGCCTTGAGCTGAAGAGCTGAGGGACAGCATCCAGGCCGAGTTCAAGACCCACAACTGACAAAAATACAACAACAAAAACAACAACAAAAAAGAAAACTTAACACAGTACCACTAAACTGGACTGTTTAAAAAATAAAAATCTATCTAAGTATTCTGCATTCCCTCCTAACTGCTTTTATTATTTAAATTCTGCTTATATTAACTTCTAATTCCCTTATGTAAAAAGAACTAAAACTCTGAATAGGAGGCCTCCTTACAGTCCTCTCTGGGGTGTGCTACCATCTGTCAGAGTTGTATAAATCTGGACTATGTGAGTTAAGTTCAAGTTCATCCCAGAGATGACTTCATACAAACTAAGAGTATGAAGTGTGTCTTCAGTTTTACATCTTTGCAAACCCAGCTCTTGTCTGAAAACATTGGAGTCCCTACACATGGTCGCTGCCATCATCAAAATTCCTTCAGGGAGAGTAACAGGCTCATCTTTGCCTAAAGGCTCTATCAGTCCCTGGAGACACTTTCCTACAAAATACTGACACTAGCCTCCAAAAGGAGTATATTCTCTCCCATTTGCCAGAAACAATTAAGAGAAAGTCTGGGCACATAACAGATTTAATGGAACTTTCTGTAAATTACTGCTTTTAAACTATGTTCCAGAGCTGGGAATGTGGCTTAATGGTAGAGTGCTTGCCTAGTATGCATGAAGCCTTAGGTTCAATTCCTCAGTACCACATAAACAGAAAAAGTTAGAAGTGGAGCTGTAGCTCAAGTGGTCGAGGGCTAGCCTTAAGCACTGAAAGGCTCAAGGACAGAGCCCAGGCCCTGAGTTCAAGCCCCAGGATTGGCAAAAATAAAATAAAATAAACTATGTTCCCCTCACTTCTAGAACTTTCAGTTAGGTTATCTATCCATGTAGCATCTACTATAACTAATTAACACATAATCCTTATGGATAATGGTGAAAAGTTATAGGAATTGGGAAAGATTTGATTCTAGACCCCAATGTCTTCACTATAGAAGGGAAAACCCCATTTCACAGAGGTATTGTGAAGTGTACGAGAGGTAAAGATGTAATTATCTCAGCCATAACATCCCCTTGCCAGTCTTCTACCCACCTCTTTGATTTGCAAACTGTTCTTCCTTCCTCCACTGGGCTCTATCATTTGGGCAACTGAGCTCTGCAGAGCTGCTTCAGTGACTGTCTAACACTGACTGGAGACACTCTTCCCTTCAACTGGTCATATATAAACCTGTCTCCCAGTCCTTACTCCCAAAGTGAGATAGGGTCTCTATCCACATTTTTGGTGAATTTTTGGGGGGTGTTCTCCTCCTTCTTTAAAGTTCCCTATAGTCCAAATTCATATCATTTAAGATTAGCAGGATGTTGAAAACAAAGGTATTATGTTGTATATGTTAATCAACATAGGACATGCTTTTCTTGTGTTCAGGTTTTATTTTTGTCCTTTGCTCTTATTTTCCCCCAAAATATTCCTAAGCTAAGACAGTGAGATGACTATTTGACTAGATTTTCCACACTTCTTTCTCTTTAGGGTAAATATTTTATAATAAAAGGCAAACATGACTTAATGAAAATTAAAGCTAATATCCCCTATATCTACATTTAAATTACAGAGAAATAGGTATATAGAGGCTACCACCATCACCAACAGAAGTTGCTAGGCTTATAAAATATTTTTTGCATGCAGACTATTGGAGCACAATAGACTTCAGTTTCCTTCCTCTCCTCCCCATTGTGACTATTGTCATCCTTAGTAAGGAGATAAAAACTAGTTCAAGTTCTTAAAAGAATCTGATCAACAGATTATGCATAATCAAAAAGTCAGTTTTTATTTTAAAATGCTAAACTTACTACAGGCTGATCAGGAAAGATCAAACACTACCTCTTTGAACACAATATTGGAAAGTGATAACTATTATTTTTGAAGTTGCAACTGTATTTCATGATGTTGACTCTTTCAAGTACTGAATAAGATCTTCTCTTTCACTCTTCTTTTTAATACCAGCAAAGATCATTTTAGTTCCAGGGATGAATTTCTTTGGGTTCTCCAAATATTCCATTAAAGTTTCTTCTCCCCAAATAACACCTATAAAGTTGAAAATAAGTTTAAGTTTTTATACTTACATTTCTAGGACTTACTTTCGGATATGACTTATATATGTGAACAAAGATTATCTTTCCACTCCATAAAAGACTGCTTTAGCTAAGAATATGTACTCTAAGTTATACAAAATTTCCAAAATTAGACTCTACTCCTTGGCTTCTCTATAGAAAGCCAAGAGCTGTTTAGGATTATACGAGCTACACAAATGAACTGCCACTACAGACATGTTGTGTCTAAGTAGTGTTTTATCAGAGTTCCTTCTATTAGAGTTCTTGGAGATCATTTAGCCGAATCCTTTATTTTGCTAAATGATTAACTTTCCCTAAGATGTCAAAGCTACTTTAATTAAGGAATTGGTTACTACAAACTTGTGTTACAATGTTATGCCTACCAGTCATGTCAAGGTGCTTCTGAACAGATCTCCCATTAAAACCTGTGATTCCTACTCAGGAGGCTGAGATCTGAGGATCATGGTTCAAAGCCAACCTGGGCAGGAAAGTGTGTGAGACTCTTATCTCTAATAAACCACTAGAAAACCGGCACTGTGACTCAAGTGTTAGAGCACTGGCCTTGAGCTGAAGAGCTGAGGGACAGTGTCTAGGCCCAGAGTTCAAGCCCCATGACCAACCAAAAAAGCCCCCAAAACAAAAACCCTATGATTCAGAAATGCAGTTTCAAAATGGCAAAGAAAGTTCATCTATTTTTCCTTTTAAAAATTAATTTTAAAATGCACGTGATACACATTGAATGGCAAAGTCATTACCTTTCCTTTGGCTCAAAAAGAATCAGGGTGGCCAGGAAAGTTTCAGTTTGACACCATAAAGGCCATGCTTTCAAAGACATGCTGTCTTTGAAAGGACATGTTACAGAAAACTGCAGAGATTATATAACCCTACACCTGTCCGTCTTGTTAACTGAAGTAAAGAGCCAGATAACATCCCAACAAAAACAAACACATTCACCAGACACATATCTCTAACATACAAGTCAGAGGAAAAGGACGTCCTAAGTCAAGACAACTTAGACCCTCATTCATTCTCTCCTGTAAAGAATTAGTCCAAGAATTGCCCTCATCGGGGCTGGGAAGGTGGCTCAGTGGTAAAGTGCTTGCCTTGTATGCATGAGGCCCTGGGTTCAATTCCTCAGCACC